AGTCATATTGATTTACATAACATTGATCCAAACAGTTTTATACTAGCTATGCTATGCTTAAACACTTTGTGTGCTATCGTCTTAACAATAAGAATCACAACAGAAAAAAAAAATATCCAATCGTATCTTTCTTGGAGAAATCACTTCTGTTCATCGAATGTATTTTGAATGTATTCGGAATATATCTCCAACTGAATATGTATCTATTTATTATTCAATCGGTCATTTACATTAATTATTTACAGTTGTCGTAGCATATTTGCATCTTTACGATATTATATATTGATGTGACGATGTAGCCTGAGCAAAGTAACAAATTTTGATGTTTTAGCACTTTATATTTTACGATTTGAATTGTAATTTAGAAGTACAAGACGGTTCTCTCGTTAACTAGATTCGGTTAATCAAGACATTACTCAAATTAATCAATGGAGATGGTATTCAGCAGTAGGTTGCGGTGTAAATGGAAATGGATTACATCGAGCAATATTATGCCTGAGTACATAGAAGCGACGGTAGTGTAACATAGGAGGACACAAACTAATGTACACGCACCACGGATCTACAGTAAGTAGACAAACTAATGCGAATATACATTGTGCACTAACAAAGACGTAGGAGATTAACGTAATATAATGTTACACGTCATATACATATTATATGTAAACCCTAATCATGGAAAAATACTTGAAGACTTTCCGTACAAGCGTAAAGGATAAATTATAAAAAAGATGTACTAGATGAATAAACCATTTTTTATAAGATTGTACTCCCTGTAATCTCCGAAATGCAATTTAATTCGAAAGAATAACAAAGAGTGATAAGCCAGTATTGAAAAAAAATGGCTCAATTATCAATTTCTAAGAAATAATTTCACTCTTTAGAGTTCGATAACAAAGATTTTAGAGAGTAAAAAGAAAATCTTCTTTCGTTATTAACGTATTCAAAAATTGTCTTTTCAAAAAAAAAAAAAAAAGGTAGTCCTCATTAACCAGTTCACAGCCGTCTTCGTTCTGAATCGAGCAAACCTCGTGCAAATCGAAAAAGCAACGAAATCCCAAACGAGCCAACAGGTTAACGTTTGAAGCCGCCGAAACGCGAGTGAAATAAAAGGAAACGAGAAAAATCACGCGCCCGTCCCGTTCTAACCCTCGAGGGAAGCACCCTCGGAGTCAGTCCACCGTTTTTCGGTCCATGGTAACACGCGCAACATCCCTTCGCGCTGGATCCACGATCCATGGACCAGTCTTGAGTGAGCGGGGAGGCCAATGTCTCGTCCGATTGGCCCGCGCGATCTCTCGCAAGCGTGCGAGCGAGAGTGACGAGTCGTTGGTCGAACGGAGATGAAAGGAGGGGATCAAGGGGGAGGGGGGGGAATAGCACGTATCGGGGGATGCGGGGCGCAGAGGGCCCGCCACCGGAGAGGGACTCGCGGCAGTTCGGATGCGCATCGTGCGAGGACGGCGTTTCAGTTAGCGGCGAGCCGCTGTCGAGGTAGGACTGTTTTGTCGCCGGTTTCGCCGGTGTCCGATCGCAACCGGGTTCCTCCTTCGCTTGTTCGCGCCACGGAATTCGTCCGTAAATTCATTTCGTTGTTCGGCTCGAGACGCGTTTTCGGCGATCGGTAGAGTAAAAAATTCGCGGGTCCGTTTGAGTGAGAAAAAAAAAAAGAATAACTTTTCGAGTGGTGAGTCAGGCGGCTCCTCGAACAGCAGTCTTAGTTTCAGTGTGAACAGTGCGTTTGTCTTTTTCGCGATTCCGAGCGTATGCAGTTAAATTCATCATCGTGTCGCGTTTCAAGTCTTGGCCAGTGCCAATATAATGTGAGCCGTCGCGAGTGACAGAGAGACGGATTCAGAAGAGAGACGAACGACAGAAAAATTAACCGTGCTCTGATTTCAACATGACGCGAAGCGAAGTCTAGAACCGATCGCACTCACTCAGTCCCCCATTCTACAGAGGGGAAAGTGAAGGTAGAAGGGAAGAGGAGGAGACGTGAGAATCTTCTCGCGATCGTCAAATCGTGAAAATCGTCAACAATCATTGTTGAGCGCACCTCCGCGGCAGAGAGGCACGACAGAACGAAGAATGGAGCGGCGTTTGCCAACGGCGTGCAGCATGACGGAGAAACGGTGCCCACGCCGATCCCTCCGGCCATGGATCGTCCTCGCGACGGTCCTGTTTGGCCAGCTGCTGCTCCTGCAGCAGGTCCACGGCGAGATCTACACCAAGATGTTCTCCAGCCAGCAGAACCCCAGCGATCCGTGTTACGACGAGGATCGGCCACGTCGGTGCATACCCGATTTCGTGAACGCGGCTTTCGGCGCAACCGTCGAGGCATCGTCCACGTGCGGCACCGGCGGACCCACCCGCTACTGCGACGTCACCGACGAGCCCGGCGGCACCACCGGCATCGGTCACTGTCACGTGTGCGACGACAGCACGCCCCGGCGACGTTTCCCTGCCAGCTATCTGACCGACCTTAACAACCCGAACAACGTCACCTGCTGGCGCAGCGAGCCGCTCGTCAGCTCGCAGAGCTTCTCGGCGCCTCCCGACAACGTCACCCTGACCCTCTCGCTCGGCAAGAAATACGAGCTGACGTACGTCAGTCTGCAGTTCTGCCCGCGCGCCGCCAAGCCGGATTCCATCGCGATCTACAAGTCGATGGATTACGGCAAGACCTGGCAACCGTTTCAGTTTTATTCATCGCAATGCCGCCGGGTCTACGGCAGGCCGAATCGCGCGACTATCACCAAAGCGAACGAGCAAGAGGCGCGGTGTACCGACAGCCATCGTTACACCGGCGGAGATGGTCTCGGTCCGGTCGGCAGGATCGCCTTTAGCACTCTGGAAGGTCGGCCGTCCGCCGCCGACTTCGACAACTCACCGGTACTACAGGACTGGGTGACCGCCACCGATATTCGGGTGGTATTCAACCGGCTGCATATGCCGCAGCAATCGAGCCCGGAGTCGCAAGTGTCGCACAACGGCGAGGAGCATCACGTGGCGGCGATCGGGCTGGAGGAACTGACGAAGCGGGAACGCGAGCGGGAGGAACGGCTGAAGAGTCAAAAGAACGCGATCCTGCACGCGCAGGATCCGCTAGTAACGGCATTACCGTCGGTCCATCAGGTGATCGCGCCCCAAGAGATGCAGTCGAACGACGCGATCGACGCCGCGGTCCGCGACATGGGCTTCGTGCCGGCCACCGTCTCCACGACCACGACCACGCTCGCCAGCGTGGCGATCAACGGCCTGGGTCCGGCTACCGCCACCATGGCCCATCACTACGCGGTCTCGGACTTCGCCGTGGGCGGCAGGTGCAAGTGCAACGGACACGCGGCGCGCTGCATCCCCGGCAAGGACGGCGAGGTCGTCTGCGAGTGCAGGCACAACACCGCCGGCAGGGACTGCGAGCGGTGCCGGCCCTTCCACTTCGATCGCCCGTGGGCTAGGGCCACCGCCAGGGACGCCAACGAGTGCAAAGGTTCGTTTCCGATTCACGACTAATTCAATTACTAGATTCATTTCGTAAGAAGAAATTCAACGCGTGTTGTTGAGAATGAATGCGTTGTTCAATTCAGGCAGCAATCATTGAATGATCTCTGAATTAACGCCTCTGAATTGGCTGCATATGTACAGATAAAATCTAATGTGGATGCAGTCATTGCAATATTTCGTCTGAAACATTACTGTGTTTGTTATTTTTTATTTCTTTTACATAACTGTTTTAATTCATTTGTACATTAACATATTGCAATGAGTTACTCTCGGCAACATATTTAATCTACGCGGATAGAACAATGTTCTAAATTGAACAGTTAAAAATTGGAACTGCTAATTGAGTAACATCATTAAACGTAATATAGAAAGAATGATTTTGCTGAAACGTCTAACAAGTTAACTAGATACAGATCTAAAAATAATTTTGTCGATTGAAATAATTATGCAGAACGTTCAAATTTATTGCTAGAATGTCAAAACTGTTTATAGCATTGCTTGTCATATTTGAGGTTCCTACACAATTACTTTGATAGTCTAACAAAATTATTTTTAGATCAGTATTTAGCTAAATATTTAAATACTTCTGCACAAAATCTTTTCATGCAACATTTTATTTTTTTGGATAGTTTGTCAGTTCAAAATCTATACTTTAATTCGAATTTTGATTATATAAATTAAAAACTAATTCAATGTGTGTGTGTGTGTGTGTGTATATATATATACACAACTATTTCCCTATAATGAGTTTCCTTCTATTAAATAAAGAAACTGAGATACTTCCAGTTCATTAATTTAGTTTGATAAATCGTTTTACTATAATGTATCGGTTAGTTTGTTGTTGAGTAATAAGCCTCAATCGAAGTTAGGAGCGCTTGGATATTAACGATTATTCAAACTACGTGATATATAGCAGCAATTTAATCCCGAGACGGAATGTGAATTTGTGTGTGCAAATGCGGATGCATTTTCGAGGAGTTTGAGTTGAGTTATATGGATTTTGATAATTATGCGTATTATAATCGTCGAGAGAGAGAGAGAGAGAGAGATTCAAAGCCGAATTACGTGATCGGAGATATGTACTATATATATAAATTCTGTGATGAAAGCGGATGCTATGAGATTCTCCAAAATGATTGATAGGTACACCAATGTCCGTTCTGTTCTGTGATTGCGTGAATGAATTGACCGTAACACCATTGTATATATCATTGTACAGGAATTAGGGCACGTAGTACATTAATGTAATAATCAAGTATACTACTGTACACATTAGATGAAGTATGATGACTGTAAATATAACGGTAAAGTCTTTCTCTTTCTCTCGTTCTCTCTTGTACTTTTATTTCTTCCATAGAACATTGTTCCTTAAAATACTGTTTTATCAAAATTTATTGAGTTACATAATATTACTCTGCGAGAAGCTTTAAAAGATATATTTCTTTGTTTATCTTAATTTGGATTTTTATTGAATTTAGAAAAAAAATCATATTTAATCCAAAAAATTGCATTGATTAAAAAAATTACGCAAAAAAATTTGAATTATAATTATATTTATATGTTTGATAATACAAATACAATATACATATAATATACAAAAAAGATCAATAGATATACTATATGTTGCATGGCTTAATTGAGAAATTATTTTGCTCCTTTTTATGTTAAAATTCATATATTTCGATTTAATATCAAGCATGATATTAAGAAGTACTGAGTTAGAACAACATTAGCTGATCAAATATCTCTATTGGAATCGCCATGTTTGTAATAGACTAAATATGAGTATCGTGTTTACGATTGCAAAATTAAATAGACGGAGATAGAGAAATAGCTCTGAAGCTGGCTAATCCGTTGCAACTTGCGAACAACATACTTTCGACTGTAACAACGAGGAGGGATTGCCTTGAATATTAAACTGGTATCTATCTTTATGATTGCAATATCATGGTAACTAATTTTTTTACTCGGCGGCCTTACTATACCTATTGTGTTTCGGAACATAATCTGTAGTGATGCTTAAAAATCTGCAACATTTCGTGCCATTGGGATACAAAGTAAGGCTGATATTTTATGCGTCGTACAAGATTTTTCAAGTCTGCCGATTGGATGCAGAACAGAGGGGTTCTCGGATTTCTCTGTCCTGCAGCTAATCAATTTAATTTAAAAAGTTTACCATATGACACTTAAAATATTAGCCTTATTTTCAGATATCGTCACGATCGCGCGAATTCTTGAATCAAATTCATAGTCAGTATTTTCCAGGAGAAAATTTAATTGGATATTACATTTTTTTTTTCGCAACTTTTGAATGCTCAACTCAATACGAAATCTCTTTGAGCAGAATACTGGCTGGCTTTAAATGAAGCCACTGAACCTTTACAATTCCATTATCCGTATGGCGAATTCGATAAATATTCCGTTACAGAGTTTCTCTTTGTATCGCAAAGCCCGCGTTTCAGCTCTTGTTAGCGCAAATACGTCAATTCGCGTTTTCTTTTTGCTCATTCTGCAAACGTTATACTCCTCTCGATTCGTCGCGGATTTCAAGGCTACGGCAATAATCTCATATTATGAGTGTCTCTCTCTCTCTCTCTCTCTCTCTCTCTCTCTCTCTCTCTCTCTCTCCAGGAACGCCAGGCGTATCTAACGCCCGTTATTCAACGAGGCCATATTTATTGAATTTCGGGATCGGGGACCGTATGGGGTGCGCATCCGGCGTGGCGCGCGTATGGCTCTTTCGAGAAGTAAAAAATAAACATCGAGAAGAAGAGACTCGCTCGATTCCGCATCCCTTCTTGTCTATTCGTCCCCTCCGGTCTCTCTCTCCTTCCTCCCCCCCCCCTCTCCGCCAACCCCCTTTCTTCACTCCGTGCACCCTGCGTTCTGTCTCTCTCTTCGGGACGATCCCAGGGTTAGGCCTCTCGAGGCTCGCCCCTTAATTCGAAGCGGCGAAGCGTTGCCCCGGTATCACGGAGGCCGCGTAGCCGAAATCAAAAACGTCGGAGGGTGAAACCACCCTTCAAAATCATTTCGAATCGATAAGGGACGCCACCAGTATTCGCGCGCCTCGCACGCGCGTCCCGCGGTCTGGATTCTCGCGGGGGGGGGGGAGGGGTGGTAGAACTGGTAGGTGGAGGGTTGCGCCGCGGCGAAAAAATGTAATCGGATTTAATTGGATCGACGATCGCGAAGGAGCACCCTTGTTTATTTTCGGAGAGACACGGTGCCTGGCGCACGCAGGCTCGAGCAGGAGAGGTGCGATAAATGGAAAAGGCGCCTTCAGATGCTCGGAATCTGCGGTTTTTTTTCCGTTATCAGTGAGCTCCGAGCTTCTTCTCACTCCGTAGCTAAATTTCGATTTCGCATTTTTTCAGTTTTAATATATTTTTGTGCTATTATTTTGTGGCGATACTATGTGGCGTCGCAAAATATTTATCTTCGCGAAATTTGTCGGTGCGAGATAATAGACATGTACGCATAATTACATACACGCACTTGACGCGCACACAAATATATTCAGAAATGGCTGTATCATCGGTCGTGAAAGCGGAGACTTTTAAACTCATAAATTTCTTATGATTACATCTCGAGTTTTCTTTATATTAATCGCAAATTACAAATTAATTAGAGGGCAAATTAAATGTACATTACATTTTGATTAAGCTCTGCTGCAAATACACGATTAAGGCCCGTTTCTGTCGATATAGTTTAATTTTAATCTCGGTTTAACTAACTCTTCATCTTTTTCCAGTTCTGAGAATTAAAAAAAGAGTAAGTTGAACTGAGATTAAAGTTAATCTACATTGGTAGAAACGAGCCTTAATCGCGTATTTAAAGCAAACTTTAACCGAAATGTAATTTACATTTAATCTGCACTCCAATTAATTTGTAATTTGCGATTCGTCATTTATAAACGATTGCTGTCAGCGGATGTAACAGAATTTTTTTTATTTAAACATAACAGCGACGGACATGAGCATAATTTCGTTGGCAACATTAATTAAATTATATTTAGAAATATGTATCATTCTGTTTTCATTCCAGCCGGTAATAAAAAAATGATATTGATAGTAAAAGAATATTACAAAGGCCGAGGCATTCATATTATGTTTGTTTTCAAAGAGCAAACAAGCTGCGAAAATTAGAGCGCTGATTAAATGTAAATGCCAGTTCGAAATATTTGATCCCCGTTTTCGATTCGAATTAATTAAATAATTGACTCGCAGCGAACCGTAGCTAATCGCTCTCTACGCTAGTTAACGCAATACCGTCCGCAATTGGAAATCACAGGACAAGAAAGAAATGGTGAATTGTGTCAGTTCAACAACGATTAGAAAACGTAAATCAAGCTAATTAGTTATGCTACAGCTGTCGCGCGTCGTGCGAATGCAAAATGCGAAACTGGCTAGTAGAAACTATAATCGTCTGCAGGAGAGATGCGAATATTCCTGCGAAAAAATTGACACGCCACTTTTGAACGATCGATCGAGTCGACGAAGAGTCTTCCGCGTTGGTCGATTCCGGTTACGCGTTTCGACACGATCGGTCATCCGTGAGCAGATTGTCCCGCGAGCTGATTCTCCTTCGTCGTACATTTCGGGTTTCTCTCGCTCCATTTCGATATTGCGCTTTCACGTGTATAGATAACCGTCGGCCAACTTGTCCGCTTCGAAAAGGCGAATATACATATGTATATCGCGGAAAAATGTTTGTAACTTCGATTAAGTCAAATACGCGAGAGGTCTATTTCTTTTTTTTCCCCTTCCAGTGAATTTGTGAAGGTAGTTCCGTAAAACATAGAATGTATTTGCG